ATTGTAAAGTGCTGAGCAAACTGTTGGCGCTATATAAATCCTGTATAATAATAACTGTAATGCCAACTGAACTTCATAGACAACATGATTGCTGGCTGCTTAATATATCCCACAGCTTTCAGATACCATTGGAATGAGATAATCAATGTTATCCACTTAACCTGCGAATGGTAAAAGTAAATTTATGGCTGATCAGTGTGTGTGCACTTACAAAGAAATTAAGGGTCTATAATTTTTTGTCATGGTTGTATTTTAAATGATAGAGACAGAATATCAACCAAAAATCCAGAAAAAACACATGATACAAATGTTTATAAATTGAGTTGCAGTTAAGTAAGTATTATTTTACTTATTTGATTCCCAAGCAAAATATGACTTAGTACTTGTTGGAGAAACCCTTGTTGGCAAGCACAGAGGTAAGATGTTTCTTGTAGTTGGTTACCATGTTTGCACATATAACAGGAGGGATTTTGGTCCACACTCTTCTTTACAGATCTTCTCTAAATCCTTAAGGTTTCTTGGCTGTCGCTTGGCAACTCGAAGTTTCAGCTCCTCTCCATAAATTTTTTACACTGGCTAGGCCACTCCAGGACCTTAATGTGCTTCTTCTTGAGCCACTACTTTGTTGCCTTGGCAACGACCCATTTGTTGGGTTGTTGTCATGCTGGAAGACCCATCTCCAGTGTTCTGGCTGAGGGAAGAAGGTTTTCGTCCAAGATTTTACAATACATGGCCCCATCAAATGGCCCCTCAATGCAGCAAAGTCGGCCTGTACCTTTAGCAGAGAAAAAGCCCCAAAAGCATAATGTTTGCACCTTCATGGTTGACTGTAGGGATGGTGTTCTTAGGGTCATAGTCAGCATTTTTCTTCCTCCAAACACGGTGAGTTGAGTTAATGCCAAAAAGCTAGATTGTTATCTCATCTGACCACAGCACTTTTTCCCAATCCTGCACTGAGTCATGTAGATGTTCATTGGCAAACCGCAGACGGGCCTGTACATGTGCCACCTTGAGGAAGGGGACCTTGTGGGCCCTGCAGGATTTCAATACATGGCGACGTATTGTGTTACCACTGGTTTGTCTGGTGACTGTGGTCCCAACTGCCTTGAGATCATTCACAAGCTCTTCCTGTGTAGTTTTGGGCTGATCCCTCACTTTTCTCATGATCATTCCTACCCCATGAGGCGAAATCTTGAATAGAGCTCCAGACCAAGGGCGATTGGTGGTTATTTTTGGCTTCTATTTGCGAATATCGCTCCAACAGTTTTTTCTTTCTCACCAAGCTTCTTGTTGATGGTTGCCCATTCCAACCTTGTCTGGGTCTACAATTTTGTCCCTGACATCTTTTGCCAGCACTTTGATCATTTGCCCATGACCTTAAGAGAGCGATTCACACCAGACATCCCAAGAATATTGCTACACTGAAACAGTTTTGTGAAGAGTAGTGGTCCAAAATGACTCTAGATCGTTGTGCAGGTCTGATCTGCAACTACAGGAAACGTTTGGTTGAGGTTATTGCTGTCAAAGGAGGGTCAACCAGTTATTAAGTCCAAAGGTTCACATACTTTTTCCTCCCTGCACTGTGAATGTTTAACATGTTATGTGCAATTAAACCATGGCAACATCTAATGTTTGTGTAGTATTATGTTCAGCAGACTGTGTTCTTCTATTGTTGTGACTTAGATGACGTTCAGAGCACATTTTATGCCCAATTCATGCAAAACTCCACGTAATCCCAAGGGGTTCACATATTTTTTCTTGCAACTGTTTGACAGACTCACCTGTATTCTTTACAATACTAAACAGTTTTTTTTCTTTACCATTCCTTTTTCTTCTGTTCTCTGTGGTTGGTTATACCTTATCCCTGTTTGTTCTGCAATGTTTGTTATGCCTTAAATGACATTGACCCTGTGTGTAGTCTCCAGTCCACGAACAGTGCTTTCTCCCCTTACCCTATGTCTCCTATCTTTCCCCTCCCTGTTTCCCTCCCAGTTCCCCTTCCTCCTCCCATACGCCACCACTGTGTCAGTTCTCTGTATATTGTTTGATAAATGATGTGGACTTTTCTATTTGGGTTATCTAATGTCAATTCAACGGAGCCTAGGCATCTTGTTGCTTGATTTGTGTCCGATAACCCATGTTCTTTTGAGTTGTATTGAAATCTACCATTTGTGATATGACTATTGCTCAATTTTTATATCTGTTAATTTAAAAAAAGTGCAATAAAAACTATTGGAATTGTGTGTGTTGTATTATATATTATATATATATATATATATATATTTTTGTGTGTGTGTGTGTGTGTGTATGTGTGTTATATATATCTTTATTTGTGGTGTGTGTGTGTGTTGTGTTTATATATATATATTTTATATATAAATGATGGGTTCAAGACACCTCCTGTATGGAGAAACTAGTTGCATGCATTGCTCAGGTGTGATTTTGACCCATTCTTCCACACAAACGGTCTTTAAATCTTGAAGGTTCCCTGGGCCTATTCTATGAACTTGATCTTAAGTTTTTTCCATAGATTTTCTATTGGATTCAAGTCAGCTGGGCCATTCTAGCAGCTTTATTTTCTTTCTTTGAAACCAATTGAGAGTTTCCTTGGCATTGTGTTTGAGATCATTGTCTTGCTGAAATGTCCACCTTCGTTTCATCTTCATCATCCTGGTAGATGGCAGCAGATTTTTTATCAAGAATGGTACATTTTTCCTTTCATCCTTCCTTCAATGATAGCAAGTTTGTCAGTACCGTATGCTGAAAAAACAGCCCCACACCATGATGTTCGCCACCTCCAAACTTCACTGTTGGTATGGTGATTTTGGGGTGATGTACAGTGCCATTTGACCTCCAAACATGGTGTGTATTATGGCATCCAAAGAGTTAGATTTTGGTTTCATCTGACCAGACTGTATTCTCCCAGTATTTCACAGGCTGGTCTAAATGTGCAGCAAACTTTAAATGAGCGCCAACATGCATTTTTTTTTTCAGCAATGGATTCTTGCATGGTGAGTGTGCATACAGGCCATGGCGGTTGAGTGCATTACTTATTGTTTTCTTTGAAAAAAATTGTACATGCTACTTCCAGGTCTTTCATGGTGGTTGAGTGCATTACTTTATTGTTTTCTTTGAAAAAAATTGTACATGCTACTTCCAGGTCTTTCATGGTGGTTGAGTGCATTACTTATTGTTTTTTCTTTGAAAAAATTGTACCTGCTACTTCCAGGTCTTTCTGAAGCTCTCCACAAGTGGTCGTTGGCTCTTGGACCACTCTTCTGATCATTCTTTTCACTCCCCATTATGGTGAAATGATGTTCTTTTCCACTTCTGGATTATTGCCCCAAGAGTGTTCACTGGAACATTCAGACGTTTAGAAATCTTGTAACCAATGCCATCAGTATGTTTTTGCAGCAATAAGGTTGCGAAGGTCTTGAGAGAGCTCTTTGCTTTTGCCTTTTTTATGAGATGTTTTTTGCGTGATGCCTTGGTAATGAGACACCGTTTTACAGGCCATCAGTTGAGACTGAACCAGCTGATATTAATCTGCACTGACAAGAGGCAGGATTGCTTTCTAATTACTGATAGGTTTCAGCTGGTGCCTTGGCTTTCCATGCCTTTTGCACCTCCCTTTCTTCATGTGTTCAATACTTTTTTCCTGTGTCATTCCAATTTATTATTAATAAGTCCATAAATTATGGACTTATTTGTCTTGGTTTCTTTGTATGTATGGTTTGCATGGCTTGTTGCCGACGTGGTGAAAATTTAGGTCAATGGCACCTTTAGAGATCTATTTACTGAAAAAAAATGATGACGTGTTCAATATTTATTTTACCCGCTGTGTGTATGTATATGTATATACATTTCTATCTATATATATATATATATATATATATATATATATATATTATATATATATATATATATATATATATATATATATATATAGATATATATATCGATATATATATATATATATATATATATATTCTATTGAGCAGTTAGTACTATTTTTTCTAAATCTCTTTAATCGATTAAATTTACTTCATGTATTGATATTTTACATAAAGCTTTGTGTAAAATGTGTGTGTCTGCGTGCGTAAATATGTATAAGGCCACATGGGTATTTTGAATCAGTGGAAGGTGGAAGTTACTGAACTTCTCTTTGGGTGATGTGATTCGCCGCAATTGCAGCGCGATTTATCATGCAACAATTGCGGAAGAACCTCACCACCTTTTCACGTACCATTAAAATGAATAGCACCTGAACACGTGGTTCCATAATTTGTCATTTTAGCAGACCGTTTTGAAATTACGGGCAGAATCACGGCAATTCTGCTCGAAATTCAAAATGCCCATGTGTGAATGCAGCCCTAGTTTTTTTTTTTTTTAAGTGTTTTTTTTTTGGAACAGAATTGTACACAATATTTCAGCTTTTATCAGGCGTTTTTTAGCTAGCCATTTTTTTTATGTGGCCAAAGCAAAACTGAAAAAAGGGGCAGAGAGCTGCTGTTTGTGCTGAAAACGTACGAAAAAAATGCTCATGTCACACTTTTCAGCCATTTCCATTGAAGTTTATGGGATAAAAACACTCAATACTGCCTGAAAAGTAGTTTGTGTGTACTTTTTTGAGTGACGTGTTTTGATAAAGGTGACAGAACACTCAGATGTGAACAAAGGCTATTGAAAATAGGGTTTTGCTTGTTGAGTGTTTTTTGAGCTACAAAATGCTCAAGTGTGAACAGGGCTTAGGTGTGAATGTACCCTTGAGTGTATGTTTTAATAAATATTTTAAGAGGATGGAAACAATAGGAATGTTGTCTTACAAAAAGGAAGGGTGATAAAAGCAACAAAACTCAAGTGATATTGTATGGGAGAAAATATATTGTATCTACTGTGCACTATTTAAGTAACTGGTAAAATAAATAACATTATGACTTTGCTTTAAAAAACCACGTCCCAGGTATTCTGTTTTATCCAAAATATGCTGTATATTTCAGGTCATACTTTTTCCTGTTGAACAGTTTTTTTGGAAGATGCAGTTGCTAAAAACAAGGTAAAAAAAAGTTTATTTACATTTTTTATATTTTTAACTTGATAAATGCCCAACATCTCTATATCTGATGCTAGGAGGGCTGTGATGATCATTCTAGAGACTGTGAATGGGAAAAAAATACAGAATGTCATTGGCATATATACTGTCACCAGGATTTTTCATTCTCTTCTTGTGATAAATAGTGAACACAGCTGGGATTTATTTGCATGTTATGTCAAAAACAAGCTAAAACTATCATCATGTGATGACACAGTTCGTATTATTCAAACATGTCCTAAAGTAACATTAAACTCTATTTTTACATCAATCATTCTAAAAAATCAAGTATCGATTGCGCTTTGTTTTTTTTTTTTTTTTTATTTTTACGGTCACATGCGCCGCGCAATGCTAGCTATAATTCCTACAGAACTGAATGTGTCTGCAGTTAGGTGTGTAGTCTATCTCAGGAGTGTGCAGGAAAGGGCAGCTACATTCACATTTATGTGTTTGGGGGATCATGGAGCAGTGTTTCTCAACCTTTTTTCAGTCAAGGCACCCTTTAAAATTATGGACAGTCCCGAGGCACCCTTTAAAATTATAGACAGTCTTGAGGCACCACATTCTAAAATGTGAAAAACTATTCTAATAGTTTTATATATCGCAGCAACATTCACATACGTAGGACACCCAATGCTAGAGGTGATTTATTCTTCCAAAGCAAATACACTTCTGCACACTGGTACTGATTAGTATTCCAGTGTTTCTCTTCTCCCTCAGTTTTTATCCATCACTGAGCTAATGTGACCCCAGCACTGATGGAGAGGGGCAGGGGAGGGTCAAACTAGGATGCTGTGCAGGCAACCAACATCCTCCTTATCAACTGATGTCATTGGTTGTCAGGATGGTGGCGGCTAGAAGGTCGTAATAGTGCACAATGCAAACCTGTGGCTTTGTGTAACTAAAAGGCAGGCTTGTTCCACCCACTGGCTTGTATACAAGTTTTGGCCAATTTTTAGACATTTTGCCAAGGCACCCCTGAAGAAATCTCAAGGCACCCCAGGGTGCCTGGGCACCCTGGTTGAGAAAGGCTGTCATGGAGAATGAATGTAGCCACAGAAGTGGAAGTCCGAGAACAGCAGAAAAAAATCTTGCATTTGAAAGATGAAACAAAGGAAAATAGAGCTAGAAGGTACATTCTAGGTATATAGACATATTGTATTTTGTATTTAAACAAAATGTGAGTTTAGTGTCACTTTAATCAGGTTATTTTACAGTCTGGATGTTTCGATGTTCTGATTGTGTCCTAAGACCAAAACATTCTTGGTGTTCTTTTAAACACTTTTTTGTCACACAGTTTTGCAAAATTCTGTATTGTGTATAGTAAAGTTAGACAATTTTTTTCAGTTAGGTTTTTTCTCTTTTTTCAGTGTGTAAAAAGAGGTTTATGAAAGATTAAAATTATTCAGAAAAACAAGAATGTGTTGCACCACCTAAAAAAAAATTTATGAATATATAAAGAGATGGATGCCAAATTTATTTGGCATGTAAAGTCTGTATGCCAATCTGGATAGCAGAACCCATGTTTTGTTTGTGTAAGATTTTTGATGTTTCCACCAAACTTTTTTTTTCAGGTATGTACTGGATGATAGAAGCCCATACAATCGCTCCTCTAGACATTCATCGACAAAGGAGACCTCTAAACAGAATAAAGGAAAGAGCTACGAAGAGATTATGGGAGAATTAGAATATGCACTCAACGGTACACTAAAGATACAGGAATCCAGGGTTGTAAAGGATAATATGCCAGACCAACAACTAAGCTTCAAGGAGCTATCCACCCGTTACAGTGGTAATATTAATAAATTAAATTGGGGTCTATACAATTTCTGTCTGATAATGGGCAAATGAAATCTGAATTGTTTATATATTGTAATAGTGCTAGCATATTTATTTTTTATGCAGCTGTGATTTACAAATGTGCCAAAGGATTTTTTTAAAGCGGCAGTATGGCCATGATTTGGCCATACCGCTGCTTTAAAAAAAATAGGTCCCTATGATTTTAAAGCAGTATTTAACCCAAAACCAAAAATTTAATGCATTGCAACTTACCGGTCATTAGATATGGTGGTTGCATTAGGTATTTTGTTTTTTTGCTTTTTTTTTTCCCCATTTTTTTCACCTGGTGATCTGGTCAGTAATACACCTCCTGTATTATAGTGCTTCCACTCTGGATGACAGCAGCACTGTCAGTGAGAGGGGAAGGGGAGTGTTAGATTTACTAGCAGATTTAGATTTCAGACACTAACAGTTGAAGCCAAACTCCAGCTAACAGTGCACCAGCAGTTACAGCAACATTTTCTTTTCTTTTGGTTAAAGGTATTTTATAAATAGAAGTTTATTATTGTAAGCACCCTTGTCAGTGGTTGAAAAACAACAGACTTACTGGCTGGATAATCAGGTCAAAAATAAAATAAAGCAAGCCTAAAAATGAAAGTAAATGTTTGCTATTGGATTTACCTCTGCTTTAAGTCGGGGGGGTTTGACAAAATTGTTTAAGTGGTAGGGTTAATTTAGGTCTCCTGAAACATAACTTCATTGTGTGCATTTAGTATTTATTAACCCCTTTTTTTTTGCTGCCAGGTCCTGTGCTCCACTTTTAAATTCAGGTAGCCAGACCATTTTTTTAAATGTTTCCATTGCTTTTTTTTATTTTTTTCCATTGCTTTTTTATTTTTTTCCTGACAGCTTTCAGAGTTTGTAAGACTCCCCACACCATACATTTTCTGAAAGCACATGACCAGTAGAATAAAAAGAAGGTCCTGCTAAATATGAAAGTTTAACCTGTATTGAGTTGATAAATAACAAATATTTGTACATTTTAAATTGTGCCTTTTTGCAAAAAGGTGAAAATTGAATTACAGCTTTTAGAGTTTGTAAAAGACCCCCCCCAATCCATATATTTTCTGAAAGCACATGACCAGTAGAATAAAAAGATGATGCTACTTATTTTTATGGCCCTGTGATATTTGCGCAAATGTTTATCAAAACAATATTTTTGGTAAAAATACACTAAAATCATTATTAGTAAATACAAACACAGCAAATTTTACAATAATCCAGCTAAATGTCTACTAAATATGAAAGCTTAACTGCCTGCTCCTCCGCCCAGTTGCATCAGTCATTCACAGTGTTCTGTGAATGGAAAACTACAAGTTCCAACAGCCTTTGCAGCTGTCGGCTTGTAGTTCTCATTGAACTATTGCAGCGCTGTGGTAGCTCATTGACTCTTCCTGTCAGAGTGTATCTGCTTGCCCGTATGATGTAGAGGCACACAGATACACTGACAGGTCTTCAGGCTTCAGGCTCCCAAAATAAAAATCAGTAAATGTGCATTTTTTTACCTGCAAAAAATGTGCATTTGTTAT